ACTTTGGAAGGGACTAAACACAGCCAAGATTAAGATTCCAGGGAGTAGAACCTAATATCAAATAATTAGAAGGGGTGAGGCTTTGAACCCAGGTCGTCTAGCCCACCACCTTGTGAAGCTAGCCGGAAGACACCTGGTCATTTCTCCCCTCTCCTAACTACTACTCTCCATTTTTCACGTATAAGTTTTCTGAATAGCTAAACTGTGTAGATTTTTTTAAAAAATAATTTTTTTAATAGTCGTATTAATCTATTTTTATTTTTAATTAACAATTAATTAATCATGTACTCCGTTTTGTGCACGAGATTAGTTCGCAACCAGACAATGCGTAAACACAGCCCCGAGTAGCACAACGTGTTTAGGAAATGCGCAAGAATCTGCAGATCCCGTTCTAAGATATCCAGAGTTTTCACACATGAGAACTGATGAGCTTTACTCGTATTAGAAGTCGTTTAGGATAATGTTTAAGCCAAACCTAAAGAATATAAATTATAAATAACTCTCAAATTATTGAGTTTGAAAATGTAAAATTATATGAATAGATTTGTCTTGAAAAATACTTTCATAAAAGTATGCATATATCACTTTTCAATAAATATTTTTATAGAAACAAGAAGTTAAAGTTATAATTTGAAGACCGTGTCACTGTCAAAAACAACTTTTTTTACGAGTACGGAGAGAGTATCGATATATGCATATGTTGATTGGTACCTTGAAGACAAAGGAAGAAGAAACTTGAGAGTCGAACAGGCCAGCAATCAATCGGGCAAGTTTTTTCCTCGAAATTCAGGGATCGCAGCAAGCAATTTAATTAGCTTGCTGCCCACGAAGCAAACCTGGAACCACAAATCAGTACACGCACAAGCTACGAAAAATAGCTCAAGTTTTTTCAGTCTGAACTCTGAAGCGCACAAGCATGACGGATTCCTTCTACACGTACGCGCTGTGTCAACGCCTCAACGGTTTCGCTGATTGAAAATTTAGTTGAAATTAGAACGATGTGACAGAAAAGCTAATTAGAAATTTATGTGTGTAGAAAAATTTTGATGTGATAGAAACGTTGTAAGTTTGAAAAGAAAAGTTTACAGCTAAACACGGTGTAAGTACTACTCTGTGGAGCAGTTTTCTCGGCAAATCGATGGCTTGATCCATATTCCATCCCCTACAGCAAACTACGGATGAAAATAGTTGGCAACGGTCGAAAAAACTCTACCATTTACATTTACATTTCCATTTTTTTTTCTTGAAAACGGAAGCAGAACGGTTGACCCGAAAACTGTAACAATATTGGTAACATCGGTATATCGAAAACGGGACCGCCGGAACGGAATCTATCGATATTGATTGGAAGTCGAAAGTTCATGTTGGAAACTACGGAGTGTAGCATAATCACATATTTAACTATGCATGAAGATAACTTTATAACTTCATTCGTGCATCATCGCACTTCATATAACACCGTTGTATGATGATTAATGATATAATAATAAGTTTGACGAACAATATAAATAAAAGTTTAACAATATTTTAACATCGATAAGTTAAGGAGATAAAAGTTCAGCAAAGTACACATGCCCTTAGGGTTAACAATATTTTTCCCTGGCCACTTCCTTTTCCTCATGGGCTACAAGCTTGCCATTCTTTCTTTATTCATGGGCTTTTGATGGGTTGGGCTGGTAGGGTCGCTAGATTACTTCGGAATTTTTTTTATAAAAATCACCGGACAATTACGGTTACAGACAAATACAGCTACTGACAAAACGGTCGGAAAAACCTCCATTCTATTTCCGCTATCATTTTTGGAAGATATTGCTGTTTTCATTTTTGACACCGATAATTACCGATATCGACTGAAGCAGTTGGTGCAAATTGGAAATGGCAGTCGGAAATCTCGAAAAATTTCATACCGTTTTCAGGTCAAGAACTGTTCAAAGCGACAAAGCCCTGTTGCCAACCGATGAAGAAGTCTACCCTCCTGACCAGATTGTTTGTCAACTGCATTAATTGTTGTGACTCAAGCAGCGTGCATGGAATGCGACAGGAACAAGAAACCGTGCAGTCATCGCTGCTAAGTGTGATTGGGTAGGTAGCTGGATTATTTAACTGGGACGCCATCATTAATTACTAGCACATAATCCATCCCAAACTTAATTAGTTCTCATTAGGGAGAAGGAGTCATTGAAGATGGCAGGTTATCTTGCACCTTCTACAGAGCAGGGTTTGACCGTCCTCATGTCAATCTGGAACCCTAGCTAGCTGATTGTTCACTGAATTCTGGAAAATGGGCTCAAGCTTTTGGACTGAGTGGAGGCAGTTGATCGAGTTGACAGTTGAGCATGCTAGATTTCGTTTTACTGGGACAATGGACTACAGAATACTACTAGCATGCTAATGTCATGGTTCTCTAGTTAAGTAATGGACATTTTGGACTGCGCAGGGTATAAAACTTTAGCTGCATTGAATGATGGAAAAGAAGGCGAATCATTCATGGTATAGGATCCAAACGCACCCTATGTTTTTGGCGTCAAAGAACTCATCAAGATGGAAAGAAGCATGTTATTCTTGTTTTAGATAATTTTATGACCGTACTTACCGGAACAGCGAATGCATAATAATTGCGGATAGCCCGTTGGAACCGTTGATAGGTAGGCTACCAGGTTCAGTGAGGCATCAACAATTCAAGATTCGAGCCCATGAGAAGAATCCGGCCCATTATCTGACAGAAGGCATCCAGGCCGGCCCACTATTATCAGTATCAGCAAGAGTTTTTTTTTTTAAAAAAAAAAGAAATTGTGGGTTGAGATTTCCACAATTTGATGCATCAAAGTATCAGTACTATACCGGTCAAAAAAAAATATCAGTACTATACTATTACCGGTATCATATTTCGCCACCTTCTTGTTTGTTCAAACTGGAAATCAGATGCTACTGTGTAGTAGAACTTACACTGTCATCGTGGCGCTTTGCTCTTCTTGCGTCGCCAATCCATGGTTCTGTGGTAGGCTGGTAGCAGCACATCACCAAGCCAAACTTGAGATATCAGAGAATAAGACTGAATACTCACATCCTGAATTAACAAAAAGAGGGTAGTAGTCCCCTAATTCCCAAAACCAAACAAGTCAAATTACTGCATAAAGACTAGTACGTACTGTAATAAAGAGAACAAATTAACTAACACAAACCTTGATCAAGCACGGAGTAAATTCTGAACTGGATTTGAGAAGGAAAAAAAAAACCCACTCGTTTCTACATCCAGATGATTTTGTGCCAAACTGTTAGTAGTATATACTCCAGTTCTTGTTGGAAATACTTTTGCTGCGTGGCTGCTCGATGGCTGGCGGCCGGCCCGAGTTCTTCCTGATCTGTTTATCGTTTGTTGGAGGCAGTTGGCTGTTGGCATCGTGGCGGCATGGCTGTGGTGGGTTCATGTGGTAGCCGACCAAGCTTCCACCCTTAAGAGCAAGTTTAATAGCATAGCCCACTACTAACTCCAAATTATGTATAGCCAATATAATAGTCAATTCATACAATAACGGCTTATTATACTATTAATACCTGGTCCCACCTGTCATACACACATTACGTCTTGAAGTCCGTGCTGCAGCTGGCTATAGATCTATAGCCCGTTGCTCTTCTTTCACTATCTTTATCTCTTTAAAATATATTTATAGCTGGCTTATAGCCTGCTATTGTACTTGCTCTAAGGCCATTCCCAATCCAATACACTGGACATAGTTTCCGTAAACTCCACATCATCAAGAAACTAATATATACTAGACACTACTCTTCCAATATAAACACCACTATTTCATATTTAAATTTAATGCTACTTATCTCACATGATGTCTTCATGTAAAACATGGCTTCCTTCTATTTCCTCGTTTATTCACTTGCCATATCATTTTTCATTTTAGGTGACAGTTTATTTAATGTTATAAAAACAATCCTAATTATTGTGTTGGGAATGGACTAAGTACTCCGTCATGTGAACCTGACCAATTGGCAGTTGCCAAAAACAATAATGCTTCAGGTAATTAAGCTTCCAGGTTCCAATGATCCAAAGCGCGCATTTGGCAGCAAAAGATGTAGAGTTCCAATGACGTGGAGAAGTAGAAATCCAATGATCCAAATCATATGCCTGATGATATAGAGGTTCCAATGATCCAAATGACGTGGAGAAGTAGAAATCCAATGATCCAAATCATATGCCTGATGATATAGAGGTTCCAATGATCCAAATGACGTGGAAATTTGAAATAAAAAAAAGAAATTCCAATGATTTTAGAGGCTTCAAAGATCCAAATGACGTACGTGGAAAATTAGAAATCCAATGATCCAAATGATTACAGTTTCCAATTATTCAACTGACGTGGGAAATTTTAAAATAAATGTAAAAAAAAACTAGAAACTCCAATGATCCAAATGATGTGGAAAAAAAAACTAGAGGTCCAATGATCCAAATGATGTGGCAGCGAAAAATTGAAGAAAATGGAGGTGCGGGGAATCGAACCCCGTGCCTCTCGCATGCGAAGCGAGCGCTCTACCATATGAGCTACACCCCCTTGGTGCAGTCGTAAACCATGTTTTTTATTTATTGTCATTGTAAAAATGGCCAAAGAGGGCAGTAATGCGACGTCACATTAGCTGTACAGTACAGTCTTGCAGAGTGCGTAGAGTATACTGTATATACCACAGCGACTGTGATAAAACAAAAGGTTAATACTCCCAATTTTGACTAAAAAAAGATGGAAGCAGCAATAAGTATACTCCACAGGAGGAGCTGGGAAGCCTGGGAGACGTGATGGAATGGTCCAGGTACTACCGCAAGGAAAGCCTATATACAATAGCCTCCTCCCTAGGCTCTCGTCAGTCCCTCTCCTCACCAAACCCCACTGCTCCGTGGGCCCCTGGACCCACCTGTCAGCCACCCGCCCATTCTCCCCCACCCGTCCGAGTTTCAACCCTTTGACTCGAGCGCACGCTCCTTCCCCCGTGGTTGCTTTCCTCGCCTCGCCTCTCTCTCTTCCTTCTGACCAACCCGACCTCGGCGCCTCCCCCCATTTCTCTCTCTCTCTCTTCGCGTTGCCGTCTCGACCCCGCCTCCACCGCCGAAGCCGCCCGAGGCGGCGGCCGCCGGCAGCTGGGCTCCTCCGAATCCGAACACGGCGGGGGCTCTCCCCTCGCTCCCCACGGCGGTTGGCACCTGCTGGCTCTCGGTAAGACCTAGTTCCCGCTGATGAGTTAGTTGCTTGGAGCTAGCTAGCGCGGTCTGCCCGATCGATTCCGTCCAATTCCCGCGCGCGTGGTTTGATTGCTCGCGAATTCGATGTCCGTAGGGCTTGTTTTGATCTCGCGCTGTCGTTGTAGACGCCTTTGGCTTGGGGAGGTTGGCCGCGCGGCTGCTTTCCGTAGAAGCTTCGCAAGCTGTTGTGTGAGCTACACCAGCTGGGAGGAGGAGGAGGAGGGTAGCCCTGAGCTTAGGAACTGACGCTACGAGCTCGGAGATAGCTGTACTTTTTTCTTTTTTTGGTTTTGCCTTAAATCCTCTCTCGTCCTTACTTGTGTCGCCCTGTACTTGGGTAGCTGTTGCCGTCGGAATTATTATCTGCTATATACTGTTTTTAAGGAAGGTGCTGTTTGGCATGCTGCTTGATTTTAATTATTTGATGAACCCTGGCTGAATACTATCATTTGTTTGATTCTTTCGCAGATCCAACGTGTACAGCTAATTTGATCTGTTGGCGCCTTAGCTAGAAGTAAGGATACGGCTGTATTAGTTGGGATATTGGTTTTGTCATTGCTGGATGCACAGCCTTTTACGGTGCGTTTGCTTTGATGTAGAGGTGGCGACTCTGGCATCTCAGTGATCATAGGGCATTTGAAGGTGGCCTGCATCCCTGTTACAAGTAAGGGACAACAAAGCAATTTGTTGTCTCTTTATTTGGAGCTGGGAAGAACCCGGCATGGCAGATGCTAGTTCGAGGACTGACACATCAACAGTCCTGGATACCGACGATAAGAATCAGATGGTAACTTCTCTTTTCTCTGTCACTCTGTTTATGCTCCTGGTGATTGATCATTTATGCAAGCTAGGTACAAAAGCCAAAACAACATAGGCACTGTATCTAGCTGACTGATAGTCTAATAATAGGTCATGGATAGCACCATAGGTGCATATGATGAGTTGAACTTCAGTTCTATGATAGGATTACTTTTATTACAAGATACAAAGTTCTTTTTCTATGGTTATTTGACCCTCTCAAGATGATTGTACAAAAGGAAACAGTACAGAAAATTTATTATGAACCTCTAAAGTTAACAGGACAACTACTGTTGGACAATCAGTAACTACTAATCTGGAGTGCCTTGAAATGTTATGTCCATGCAGCACCTGGTTATTCTAAAATATTTTTATCAAATAAAAGGATGATACATGATTTGGTGCTAAACTGCCTGGGAGTTTCAGAACTTTTGTTGACATGTAACATGGGTTGACACTAGGCACATCATTTTGATATCAATTTTGTGAAGAATTTGATTGTTAAGGTAAAAACTTTTAAAAAGTTGACTTTCTAACTATAGAGGCATCAGGTACTATAACCAATAATCTACTTTGGTTACTACTACTTCCATTAAACTGGCCAACTGTCCATGCCAATTTCTCTGATTTATACAAAAATTATCCCACTTTAATGGAGAAGGCTTGTCCTATTCAGTTGAAATTGGTTGAGCACCTATGAGTGATGGTTATTGAATTTTGTTATCTTGGTTTTGTGTGAGGTGCTATTTTGGATGTTTTCTATTTAGGTGTGACAAGTACATGGAAAAATTCCATCTTTGTAATTTTATAGATGAACAAACATTTATTAAATTTCACATGTAAAGAGTTTTATTTTTCGTATGTCCTGCTGAAATGCCTATAAATTTCTTGAGTCGCCTAAACAATTATCAGATATCATCAATCCAGCTTCTGTGTACTGCTACTCTAAAGTTCTCATTACACTGCATGTGTGATACACTGAGATGTTTGTTCTAATTTTGTCCTAACAAATCTTTGCAGGTAGACGGGCAAAGTGGAGCTATTGTGCCTTCTAATTCATCTGATCGGTCTGACAGATCTGACAAGCCCATGGACCAAAAGGTGTTAATTTATCTCCTATTTCTTGTGCAGTGCTACTTATCCTTTCTTAATGATGGTATTTAGGAAGTATGTTTGTTATTCTGTAGGTGTTACGCCGGCTTGCTCAAAATCGTGAGGCTGCAAGAAAAAGTCGGCTGAGAAAAAAGGTACTATAACCACAACTTTTTGTCATATTACCTGTCCTTTTTTGGACAATGGAATTATGACTTCTGGTCTCCGCACCAACTAAGGATGCACATCCATATTATCTCTGTCTAATGTCTATGTGTGTGCATGCGAGTATTTTTTTTTTTGCCTTAAATTTATTTAGGTGACTTTGGGTTGTTTAATCAGGGAACTGTAATTGTATGATGGTGCAGTTATGTGAAAATGCCATGGATGAGCTTATGGGTGCACCCGACGGAGAGTCATGGGTGTACAGATGCACACCCAACTCTACTTTTTGGTTGCAAAATGGTCATTATATAGCAGGCTAGCAGGGATATTTATATTGTATGCTAATAGCTATTGAAAATACTCCATATTCATGACCCCAAATAATTTTCCTTTTCTTTTGGGATGCCGGCTCTAGTAGGAATAGTTTCTAGACCTTGATTACTCTTCTACTCTGTACAAGTGTACAGCTGTCTTAGATATCGTGGGTCCACCACTGGGTGAGTTGGTGGATGGCTATTATGCATATGCATGCTTAAGTAAGCAACTAGCTGACAATCATGTTTTCAGTAGCAATTTAGATAAGTCCATGTTTGTAATTTTGTAAATCAGGGAGCTAATACTGGTGCAACTAATGGGTTGGCCTACAAATATGTTTTATTTAGCACTTAAACTGCCTCTTTTTTTAATCGTTTTATGATATTATGGGAATTACAAAAGAATTCCAGAAGGTACTTCCCTTCCAAGAAATAACTAACCTGCAAGGGTCTTTGTTTTCTTTGATGTCTTTCTTGTTGAATGTTCTGGGCATTGAATTACTATGGGCTAACTGGGCCAACAGGTATACAAGGGTAACTATACAGATATGTAGAAAACACCCTCTAGAATAGAGTAAATACACAGGTAGCTATGCAGTACATGTAACATCTATAACCTTGAGAACTTACATTCTAGGCATAAGCAATTGAATTTCATGAATTGAAGCAAATGCATTGTCCTTATCCACTATTAATTTCTGTCCACTTCTTGATTTACCCATTGTTATTAAAAAACATACTTCTTATTCCTTTTCAAGGCATATGTACAACAATTAGAGAGCAGTAAGCTGAAACTTGCAAGCTTGGAGCAAGAGATCAATAAAGCTCGCCAACAAGTAAGTTTTTCGTGCTTGATGTTGTTAAGTTTCAGTCGACTGCATTTTTTTGCTTCACTGTCTTAGATGGTAGCTATAAATGTCACCTGGATATTGTACTGCAGGGAATTTACATTTCGAGCTCAGGAGACCAAACTCATGCTATGAGTGGAAATGGTAAGATTTGTGTACGCACAGTTGCACGCGTACCTGCTCACTTGTGTGTACTTTAGTGTTTGTTAGGGGTTGAACTGATAAGAGTAAGTTTTCTCTGCAGGAGCTATGACTTTTGATTTAGAATATGCCCGTTGGTTGGAGGAACAAAACAAGCAGATAAATGAGCTGAGGACTGCAGTAAATGCTCATGCAAGTGACAGCGACCTCCGTCTCATTGTAGATGGGATAATGGCGCATTACGATGAGATATTCAGGCTGAAGGGTGTTGCCGCAAAGGCTGATGTGTTTCATATACTTTCAGGCATGTGGAAAACACCTGCTGAAAGGTGCTTCTTGTGGCTTGGGGGTTTTCGTTCCTCTGAGCTTCTAAAGGTGCATAAGCCGTGTGCTGCATATAAGAAAATTATAAAAGCACACCTCAGGGATACTTTAGTCCTAAAGAAAAAAGTCATCTAATATCTTGTTTTAATGGGTATTGCATCGTAACACTAATTTCAATCTCCTGTAAAATTTCAGCTTCTTGTGAATCAGCTCGAGCCATTAACTGAGCAGCAGTTGTTGGGACTATCGAACCTCCAACAGTCCTCTCAGCAGGCTGAAGATGCTCTATCACAGGGAATGGAAGCGTTGCAACAATCCTTGGCAGATACGTTGGCCGGGTCCCTTGGTCCATCAGGATCTTCAGGGAACGTGGCAAACTACATGGGTCAAATGGCTATGGCCATGGGCAAACTTGGGACCCTTGAGAATTTCCTCCGTCAGGTAAGCGTCTTTCAAAATCATGTGGCATATTTCAAACTGTTTCGAAATTTTCTGTTATCTCTGATTCTGGCAAGCATGCACTCTTGTTATTGCTGTAACAGGCAAAATATTTTTTTGAAACCTGATACTAGTTTGCTGATGACTTGACGAGTTACTGAAATTTTTTGTGTTCCCTTTCTTATTTGTGCTTTTGATCCCGAGCAAGTTCTGCAAGTTTTAGATGACCCTTTTTTTTTCTGAAGAGTTCTAATCTTCTTTCTGCCAGGCTGACAATTTGCGGCAGCAGACTTTACATCAAATGCAGCGAATTCTGACAATCCGACAAGCTGCCCGTGCTCTACTTGCAATACATGATTACTTCTCACGTTTGCGTGCCCTGAGTTCTCTCTGGCTTGCTAGGCCACGGGAGTAACAACACATAGGGTGCATCACCGTTAATGCTTCATGAACTGATCTGGGAGGAACGGCGGAGCGGGACTGATTGCGGATGCATTTGCAGAAGATTGGTGGCTCAGTTCCCTCGGCACAAGTTGTATTGACACCTTTTGGTTTCATGTTGTACCTGATGTTGTACAAGTAGGGTAAAGCTTGTAACTTGTAAGTTATGGTGAATTTATGATTGGCAGATTGTACAATTGTATTAGCAATAAAATAAAAGGTAGATAAAGGCTGGAAGAATACCCAGCGATCTTACAGTGGTCGGAAACGAAAAGCAAAGGGGACATCTCGCACGGGATGGTCGATTGTTCTAACTGAATAGATAAGCACTTAAGCAGGGCCTTTCTTTTATGACAACCGAAATATAGGTGAAATGGAAACTATGGGTAGAACATGTTCTGCTGATTGTTTGGTCATCCTATACTCATTATCTTGGTGTCTATATTATGTACATGCACACAAGTGGGCGCTAGTACCACTGTTTTGAGCTTTGTAGATTTATACCTGTCCTAATCAGAGTATACTGTATTTATAAAACAACTGCCTTTTTTTTTTTCATAAAAGTTCAGTAAAATGCGTTCTCTTTATAACGACTGCGTCGAAACAGCGCAGTAAGCAGTTCAGTACCAACGGCAGCGAAAGCATCCACAGCGTCGCTATCCATTTCCTCGTGACGGCCAGAGCGATTGACACGGCTGCTACCAGTCTGACTCTCTCGAGCCCGACACGATCTTTGCACCGGGTGACTCGGGAAAGGGGGAGGCGAGCGGCAGCAGCACAGGCAGGAATGGCGGGGCTCGCGGTGTCGGCTTCCCCAGCTCCGGCGCCGGCGTCCTTCCGGCCGGCGGCGGCGGCCTCGCGCTTCGGCCCGGTGAGTCCGCGTGAGTCTGCGGTTGGTGGCGGCGCTTGTACTTCTGGCGCCGCCGATTTCTCTCTTCCCTCCGGCGCTGTGCGCCTAGCCTGTTCGACGAAATGTGTTATCCGAGTCGCCGGGCGAGGATAGCCTTGTTACTCTCGGGTACAGGGTACCCATGGCTGTTGCGATTCGCCTGGTCTCTATGGACCGAGAGGGGTGAAATGGAAGGGCGAGAGCTTCAAACTATCGAAATTGCGTTTGGTGTTTATGTTTTTGTAGTAAGCGCATAAACCTTCCTCCTTCCTTGTTCTATTGGATAAGTTAGATTACACTACAGGCATGCGACCGAGGCAGTTCTTTTTTTTTTTCTTTTGACTAGTTGGTATTGTGGGGAGTGGCAAATTGGCAATAGGATAGAGCTTCTTTAGCTCACATCTCATCATTTTGTATTTGGTTCTGATCAATTTCTGCTTGATGCTTCTGTGCAGTGTGCACAGGTTGCAGGACCTGCTGCCAATTTTAGAACACGAGTTTGTGGACTGAGATGTTTGATCGCTGCAAAGCTGAAGTTCCGGAAGGCCTTGAAGAGGCATGGATGGCAGCTTCGAAGGAATCTAGAAGTCCGAGCCAATGATAAAGTGCCTGATTGGTTGGAGGCTACACCACTGACTGAGAATATAATGTCTCGGGACGTACAACTCGCGTATGGTTGGTATTGGGAAAACCAATTCTGTTTTGCTACCAAGCATGCACTCACCGAATTTCTGTGGCTATTGGCCTATCATTCCTTTGGTTTCATGGTATCGGTTTGTTTCATACTATGAGTAGAGATGTAATTTCTACTTGTATTCACACTATCTTGCTACTATGTGCCATCCTATAAAACTGAACGGTGGACATCTGCTTGCATCTATATGTTTTGGCATACATCTTATTGTACCCTGTTATGCAGATTCTGGAGGTGAAACATCAAATACATGCCCTGATACTTTGGACAGTTCAGTCATTGAGCAAAGTTCAATGCATCACAAACTTAACCCCTCTGAAACCCATCCTCCTGTGCTGAAGGAAGACCCTGTTCTATTCGACGACCCACCTGAAAGCGCAGCGCCTCTTTGCATTGCTGTAATTGGAGCAACTGGTGAACTGGCAAAAAATAAAGTGTTCCCTGCACTATTTGCTCTGTATTACAGTGGTTTTCTTCCTCAGGTATGGACATGTCATAGCTTTTGCTACCCTCATTTTTATCTGTTTTGATAATACAAATGCCATCATGTTAGTCTGTTACCCCTTTTCTTGATCTAGTTAGTTATATGTAAAATTGCAAGTCTTAATCATATAGGTGTAAAGAGAAGTCCAGTATATCGTAGTCTTGTACCGACACACATGCTAGAGTCTGTTTTGACATATCAAACTTGACTGTTAGGAACAAGGGTAAAAGGAGCATTTCTCCCAAATATATTTGATGATTTTTGGTAGCAAGCGGAAAGAGTTGGTTATCAATTGTACAATAGACCTACCAACAGATGAATAAAGACAAGATGCTCAACTTGTTTGTTGAGGATAGATAAGAAATCAAAATTTTTCCTTCAGTTTGATATTTGTTGGAGCTCTATGGAAAAAACTAATTTATTTCCACTGTGATGTTCTCAGTGTCCTGTCCAGTAAATATCCCAAAAGGTTCAAAGACTGGTTCGCATGTAAATGCTAGAATTGAATGGGCTATGTTTACTCAACCATATTTTAACAACTATCTGGCAACCCATCATCCAACTTTCTGTCCATGCATATAGGTTTTGATATATGAAGTGTCCTTAAATACTTTTTTTTAGAGGCTGTCCTTAAAGACTTCCAGGTATTAACTTAGATGTGGTTAACTTCTTATCCAACTTTCGATCTATATACATAGGATATGATACATGAATGTATTTAAAGGATCAATTATCGTCGCCTAATATCAACTGGCTGTCAAGTATCTTATTCGCACACATGGGGTAGTCTTAATGCACATGATCCTATGTTCACAATCCGCCCAGTGAATCTTCATTATCTATTTATTGCCAGTCCCTCTTTTGCCTTACTAGTTCTATGCCTGTGCATTGCAACGGGATCTGGAGTAATATGGGTTGGGAGGGGTAGGCCTGTTTGGTTTTTTACGGGATTTTCTAGCGTGCAGGTGGGAGGGGTGGGTCGGTTCGGTTTTTAAGGGGATTCGTTCACGCTGTGCGTGGTAGGGGGAGGTGGACAACTATGTCTTTAAAGTAGTAGAGATATGGTAAAGCCCAGCGCCAAACTGCCAATAGAAATGCATTGATTTGCTCGTGAATTGTTAAGTACCTTTGAACCTTTGAATTTATCGCCTCTTTGTCAGCTTCTCCATATGGCCTATTGTCATATCACAACTTCTGAATTTTATATTGCAGAATGTCGGTATATTTGGGTATTCTAGGAAGACACTAACGGATGAAGATTTAAGATCCATGATTGAAGCCAATTTGACCTGCCGGGTTGACCACCAGTATGTCTCTTTGGTAGCACCCAGTTGTAATCTAATATTTCATCTGTCATCACTGTTGAATAGATAAAATATTGGTGCTGAATTCTGTATTTCTTTTTCTAGCTCTGAAATTACTATGGTTTTCTTTCATGATGGGAGTGAAATCAGATAAATAATTGCCATCACCCAATTTTTAAGTTGCCTTGATTTTTCAAATATGGTTTATGCTGGGCCCCATCCCCATATGTATGCATGCTTTGGTGGTGTTGGGACTAGACAGAATGTTATTTCAGGCAAACAATTTTGTGCATCGCGCTGATATATTTTGCCCCAAAACTTTTGAAAGTTCTTTCACAGTTTTAATTATTAGCTATTCCTACAACAAACTTAGGCATACTTTATCTGCCCTTAAAAATATCTGATGCCATCTAGCTTTCCAAAACTAAGAGGAATTTATGCTGACATATATTCTTTTTTTTTTTGTGGATATGCAGCGAAAACTGTGATGAAAAGTTAAATGAATTTCTTAAAAGGACATACTATATAGATGCAGGATATGACAACAAAGATGGGATGGTGAAACTAAATTCCAAAATGTCACAGATAGAGGTAAATTTCGGATTAAAAAACTGTTTTATTTATGTGAGACCAGATTTAAGCTTTATACTTAAACGTAGAATTCCTTTAGAAAAAAAAATCATTTTGTAAGGGCTTACATGGTTCATTAATAGGCCTATTTGTTTCAAAGGGTAATTGTGCAGCAAACAGGATATTTTACCTTGCTGTTCCCCAAGAGGCACTTCTTGATGTTGCACTGTCACTAGCTGACAGTGCCCAAACTATGCAAGGCTGGAATAGGATAATAATTGAGAAACCATTTGGCTTCACTGGTTTGTCTTCACATCGGGTAACACAATCACTGCTGTCAAGATTTGAGGAGGAGCAGATTTACAGGTTATCTCTAATGTCATATATCTTATTTTTCCTACTGGCTACTTTTATAGTAGTATTTATTTTTGGTTAAAAAAATAATTTCATTATTTTTGCCTGCAACTACAAAAAAAAATGGTGGTCCTTTTTCTGAACGAATGGGTTGTCTCATCAATTGTTTTTGAATTGCAACTCTACATGTATCCGACTAAAACATGAAATGTTATATATCCCATAGGATTGATCATCTTTTGGGGAAGGATCTGATTGAAAATCTCACCGTCTTGAGATTTTCTAATTTGGTGTTTGAACCTTTGTGGAGTCGCACCTATATACGCAATGTACAGGTAAATTTTACACACGCTCAATTTACAACGTTTTATCTTGTTGCATGTACATTGTTAACATGCCCGAACTGTTACAGGTCATATTTTCTGAAGAAACAGCAGCAGAAATCCAAGGGAGGTGAGTTTAACTCTATCCATTTTTTTGAGTATGTTGTTGAATGATATATTTCTTCCTTTCCACCATTTTTGGTATAATAAATGTGTTTAATAAGTGTGTATTTCCATCCCTAGCCCCAAAGGTGATGGGATTGTTTTTTTAGCATCATTCAATAAAGGAAAAAGAGCCTCTACGATTTGATCCTCATGTAGCAAACAATGTGCTCTGGCCCATTTCATGATTAGGCACTACCTTGTTTCAGATTAAACAATCCGGATATGATGGTGTCATGTTTTTAGATAATGGAACAAAAATCCCAGCCTCTGCATCATATGTGATGCACACAGCCGGGATATGCTGGTGTTATGTAACTGAAATCTTAATGAGTTGTTGATTTCCAAACTGATGTGATTACATACCAATTTTTATCCTAGTTGTTACTAAATCTGTGCATGACAAGCTCATTGCTGTTTCAAAGAAATTCACAATCATCTCGTGATTATCTTAGAGCTCTAATTTTGCATTGTCACATCTATTGCAGATACTTTGGAAATTATGGCATAATTCGTGACATAGTGCATAGTCACATTCTTCAAACAATAGCACTATTTGCGATGGAACCACCTGTAAGCCTTGATGGAGAGGATATCCGAGATGAAAAGGTAAAATAACTACAACTTATTAGGGGTGTTAACCAAGCAGAACTGCTACAGAATTTTAAGAACTACATTGTGTTGTATGTAGGTGAAGGTGCTCAGATCAATTCGACAGGTGAACCTTGAGGATGTTGTTCTTGGTCAACTGAAAGATACCTCTGTGAAAGTTGACAGATATACAAAATCATTGACACCAACCTATTTTGCTGCTGCCATGTACATTGACAATTCGCGTTGGGATGGAGTACCATTTTTGATCAAGACAGGAATTGGGCTCATGGAAAATAGGTACTCTCTATAAGTTCTATTAGTTGATGTATCACTACACTAGTTAATTTCTGATTCTGGACTCAAAATTGTGGTGTTGTGTTAATACGAAAATTGTTTTCATACCTTTAGAGTTTCCGAGGGAAAGTGCAAAACTTTTATATACAAGTATGCACTCTTTTGTCAACTGTTTTCTACAGTCCACCATCCTTTGGTCCCCATGACTGAACTTTTACATGCCTGGCTTTCTGATAATTTGCACACTTTTCCTTTTTAAATAGAAAGTATCACTAGACAAATTGTCAATCATAACCAAACAATGCTGATGTTACATTTTCTCCAGAGCTGAGATTCGTATTCAGTTTCGCCATGTTCCTGGCAATATCTATCGTGAACGCTTTGGCCATGACATAGATCTTGACACAAATGAGCTGATCTTGCGTGATCAACCTGAAGAAGCCATCCTTTTGAAAGTCAACAATAAGGTCCCAGGACTTGGGCTCCAGTTAGATGCTTCAGAACTCAACCTGCTTTACAGGGATAGGTATGGGGAACACTTGGGTATCTTGTGATCTACTATAGAAATCTGGTATTAAATCATTTCACTTATTTTATAGGTACAATGTCGAACTGCCAGATTCGTATGAGCATCTTCTTCTTGATGTGCTTGATGGAGACAGTCATCTATTCATGCGCAGTGATGAAGTAGCTGCTGCATGGAACGTGCTAACTCCACTAATCCATGAGATTGATCAGAATAGAATAGCTCCTGAGCTCTACGAGGCTGGGGGTAGAGGACCCGTTAATGCGTACTACCTTGCTGCTAAACATGGGGTCAGATTGGATGATGAATGGTGAGGGGGGATAACTGGCCTAATTGCTCCAAATGTATTGAGAGATTCTTTTCGTTTTTAGGTCAGCAATGTACAGTCCCTCTTCTATTACCAAACCTGATTGACAAATTTCATCAAGAAATGCAACAAAAATAGAAATGGTTCCTTTCCTACGTTGTCACTGTTGAAGGTATAAGTGTCTTTTCCCATTATTATATGGTTTTGTTCCATTGTACTCGATATTGCAGATTGTTAAAATTGTTTCCCCAGATTGCACCACCCGGGGCAGCGGAGGCGGAGAAATGCATGTAACACCTAAGGTTCGTAAGTCGTAACTCGCTCTGGTACTTTGTTACGAGTAGTGCTTGTTAAGTTGTTGTATATGAGTTATTCCAAAGTAACATCCATAATGTTGATTTAGGCTTGTTATTCTTTGCTTATAATTTGGTAGATTTAGTGACTACTACCGTAGTATTGGAAAGTTTGCCCCTTTCAAATTCTTCCGTTGGCAAGATATTGTTTGTAAACAAGTCGCATGGACTGTTCGCGATTGCAGGTGGCCAGGTGGGGATATGGGCACGGAAATTTGGCTTAAGGGTCTAAAATGCTGCATATTGTTTAGTGCGCTTAATCCATCGTCCGTACTTTACTTATGCTTACCCTATATCTTGATTCTTGATCTTACATTCTTATGTGAGATCTTGATAATAAATTTGCAGTTTACATGGCAAGGAATTTGACACAGCAAGCAACAGAGATTGAACGGCCAGTTGCATCACCAGAGAGTCTTATGGTAATAGGAAGAGATTTGCTTTTTTTTTTACATGGATGTCTGTACGGCATAGAGTTGCTCAAATCCAAACTATTCAGCTATAACAAATTATGGTCAGAGCAATGCGAGACTAAAGTTTGTCGCACTGAGCAGGGACGAAGGACAGCTTGCTATTCTGCAGATCATAGAGTACGTGCATGTTCTGCTGCTGGAAATTGCCTATGGTGGTCACCTCTCCGCCTTCAATAATGGCAAGGCAGAGGATACTGCTGCCCGCGTCCTCGACCTCGAACACGTAGTTCTCCCGGGGCAGGTCCATCGTCGCGCCCTCGAAGTGCAGCACCAGCTTCGGCACGTACGGTTTCGCCCGCAGCGGCGCCGACAAACAGAAGTAGGGATCCGTCGTGTTGCCGGACACCACGGGAAGCTTCACCTGCGCGGCGAACGCGTCACGGACGAGCCGGTAAACACGCGTCGGCAGCGACGTCATGGCCGTGCCGGAGTCGATGATCGTTCCGCCGGTCCCGTTCTTTAGAGCGAACTCGGACTCCGGCACCGGCAGCCTCGTCGACCCGACGGTGATGCCCTTCAGCGAGAGGTAGTAAAAAGTTGGATTGGCAGGATTCTGGATTAGAGGGGTGGACTGGACGGCGCCGCGGCCACTCTTGTAGAGATCGGCCGGCAGGTCGAGCAGGACAGTGCTCGGTTTCAATCCGTTTACGGCGGTGAAGCAGTGGGAGAAGTTGCCCACTTTGAGCTGCGACGGCAGGGACAGTGGGCCGCGGCCGAACCCGGCGATGCCGGTCTCGTTGGACTTGAAAACCCCGTTGTTAAAGAGGCCGCAGCCGAACGCCACGCCGGGCACGGACGCGCCGGCGCCGACGAACGTGAACTTGTCCACTTCGAGGAAGCCTGTCGTCACCGACTTGTCGCCGTAGGAGTACGTGTATACGCATGTCTGGTTCGGCCAGAACTTTGGGCTGCCGCACGACGCAACCGGCAGGCCCTGGCACAGCGTGGAGTCGCAGGAAGTCAGCGAGAGCGTGGAGGATGTCGACGGGTCGAAGTAAGGGAGAGCCTGGTCGAAGCATGCGGGGCACGGCTGGCACTGCGTCCAGATGAGGTCGCTGCCGGTGTCGAGCGTCAGCTGCACGGGCTGCGGCGGCGTGCCGATGGCCAAGTGCACCAGGTACTCCGTCGTAGGGACGCCGTTGTCGTAGGTCCCGGGGGATACCGGCGCGCTCGCTGAGCTCGAGAGCCGCCGCGCTGCGCGGGCCTTGCTGCGCAGCGCCATGCGCTGCATCAGCTCCCGCGCGGCCAGGCCGCGCCCGGCGTCGGCGTGCGTGAGCTGCATCCGGACGGTCGCCGCAGCATTGCAGCGAGAAATGGCAAGCGCTGCAAGCAATGTGACTATGACGAAGGCTAGATTTTGCATCTCGACCGGTTGCTTGATTAACCGATGTGCAAGAAGTATCTGTTGACTGTGTCTGTTAACTCTCTCCGGTGCCAGTGCCAGTGCCAGTGCCAGTGCCAGTGCTAGCCCGCTAGCTAGATGAGTTTGTGATGCAAGTACCAAGCGTATTAACTCTATATATAGCGAGTTTATGCGCGTGTTAGCGTCAGCAACTACAAACTACTGCTGTATAAGACTATTTTTGGTCTCGCGCGCTTCTCCACGCTAAAAGATTCTCGCAATTCAACATAACAGGTCGTAGCGGACTCAGTCTGTTCCTCACACGTTCACATTTTGATGTTTTTTTATGGTTAATCGGAAGGTAGCTCTAGTACCTTGTAAAGTACTCACCACACATTCACACCATATTAACATTGATATTTCCTCGCAGTTCCCTCAGGAACCAAACGTATGAAAGCTAAGTTCCTCTCAGATAACTGAATATATATTAGTAGCTCTTAGGTCTACTTAATTAGAACGTACAGGTATTACAAAAGTCCCGTGGAAAACTACTAATCTAATAGGAATTTGACAAAGAGAAATTAGCGGACATGATTTAATCATTTGAATGTATGTTTACTCATTTATTAATTACATATTAACTAAATGGTTATGAAAGAAATCTTTGAAACAATAAAAGATAGATTGTTATGTAATATATCACTCTACAAATATGTAAGTTTAAATTGGACTTTCGCAGTTGTAACAAAAATAACAAATCAAACTCTAACTAGCATATATACATATATTCATAACTTGTAGAAGTCAAATTTAAATATATATGTTTGTGAAGTAATATATTATATATTAATATGTTTTGTCAATTTTTTTAGATTTTTTTCGTAATCATTTAGTTGACATGTAATAAATGAGTGTACGTCCACCTAAGTGATTAAAAAGAGTTTCCCAAAGTTAATCCATTGACCACATCATCACCCTCACACCCCATAATCGTGGCGCTGGTAGTAAGGGGATTTTAGAATTTACCCTCTCCAAATAGTTTAATTTTAGGACATGTCAGTAATGTGTCTGATATATAACATGTCAATTTGAAGGAATGGGAAAACTTGGATTGTACATTAATAGTGCTAGATAGTAGATTTACTACTTTAAAATTCCTTTTAATTCTACATCAATAGGATAAAAAAATATGGCCATCCATATCAACAAAAAATATACTTAGATGACTTAGATTAGAAGAGAGGCAAATAAATTCCTTTATTAAAATTAAAATAATTATATCATGATACTTTCGGTCTCTTATAGTCAAGATGTACACAACCAAGAAAAGAAAAAAGACAATGACAAGTAACATGTATTACCTCCATCCTAAAAGTCTTTAAATTTTGGTTATGCATCTACATTATTAAAATCTTTTATATTTTGAGATGAAGATAGTACAATTTAAAGACAACTGGATTTCAAAATATGGATAAAATAAACAAGTGGTCAGAATTATATATGAATACAATTGCATCACATAATGTAGAAATCCACGTAGATTTATTAGCAAATTAATTAAAATTGATGACTATAATAAATTATAGTTTAAATACATGTACAGATAATTACACGCATGTGGATACACTTTTAACAATAATTTAATGATGTTCATGAATATATCTCAGTGTTCTTGAGTGTGTGTTAAAAGGATCAAGACTGGGGTATGCGTGAGTGGTGTATGTGTTCTTTAATGTACAAAAAAAAACCATGCACAAAAAAGTAGTAGCTTTATTTTGTTGAGAAATTCAAAACATTGTACTATGTAATAGAAAATGTGTGCGATTTCACAATAAAATCAATATGAACCTAGCAAATTGAATCGTATACAGATAACGTTGTCAATAGAATCCACAAATTTAATATGCGGGTTATGGTGGACTTCGAACATGCAGTGGGAACGCATTACTGGCCTCGCGCATCCGCATGCTTGTGCGAACCTCCAAAAGCTGCTGAAATGGAAGATTCTTGGGACAACTGGACTGGGATAACAGCGCAAGCAGAGAAGGGAAAAAAACACGGAGCAGTTGGTATTATTTGTCCTGATCGACTTCGTCGAAGAGTCATCCGGACCGACTTCATTGGTACTAGTTTTGTTGCTGGAACAAACCTTACTTTTTCATGGCTGAGCATCCCCTATCTGATAATTTAAGGATTTTTGTCAAAAATCGGTTCCAACTGATTCCTTAATCATTTTTAATATTTTCTATTCTCTATCCTGCAATTGTCGATTTGTCCTTCTCCACTTCTAGGGATGCGCTTTGGCTCCCAATCAGATAATCGAATGTGATATCACGGGAAGGAGGGGCGGTTTCTGTTGGAATTTTTCTAGAGTCCACACGTTTTTGTTTTTAGGAAGTCAATTTTAACCAATCTATGAAAGGGATGGAAAATTTAACAGTTTAGAATTCCCATAACTAAATCTAGGGGATTGCCCCCGCATAGTATTGTGTAGAGCTAGATAATTCACCATTATATGTAGAAGTATATTTAAATTTTATATACAACTGGGCCTGTTTGGGGGTAGCTTAAGATTCTGAGAAGCAGCTGGTAGTATCTAGCTTATGAGAATCTGGAGAAGCTGGGTTTTCTAGCTTCTGTTTTCTAGTTCATTTTCTGAATTCTACAACTACAACTTCTCAGAATCTGAAAAAAAGCTATACTATTTGGGAGAGCTTCTTATTCTGGGAGAAACTGCAGTTGCTAGAAGGTCCCCCAAACATGCATAGATATATTTCTATGGACTTAGATTTTATATACAACACTTAGCTTCTATTTCTATAAATATAATCGTATTTTGTATACAACTGTATCAATCAATCTCTACCGTTATAATTCGAACCCAGCATGACCTAACAATTAAATATTTTCTTCTTTTTTACTAGAAAAATGTCCGTGCGTTGCAACGGGTGAATGCTATTTTAATCTTATTATTGCTAAACGGTTTAGTTAGAATGAAATTTACTGTATTAAATTTGCTTGGATATATTTTTTTGTTGGAAAATCATGGGCTGGAATTAGGATTAGTCTGATCGTCTTAGGTTAGGATGCGAGTTTTTTTAATGAGATTTCTTATACCATTCCTTATGTATTTACAAAAGTGAATGAACTTAAAAACCGACTCAAATATGGATCTATGTTTTCAAAAGCGAACAAATTTAAAAACCGACTCATACACTGATGACATATCAAAATACCGACAAAAATATCTTCAATCTTTATAATAGTAGAGATTTATGTGATAATTTTTTGTCTCTATATATAGTGAATATGATGACTTCTTTAAGGCTATCTTAATATATAACGGACGGGCGGATAGATAGATAGATAGATTTTGGGGGGTAGAATTTTAAGATGTTTCTGATGCTCTACCCTCACTTAATTTCTCATTTGTTTTGAATCGGTAGGAATTCGCCGGTGGACTCGAACTTTATGACGTTGTGTTGATCATCAACAGCAACCTCCGTGACGGACCCGGCCGGGACGTGGTAGGCAGGCAGGCAGGTTGTATTTACATAAATACTCCCTCAGTTTCATAATATAAGTCACAACTATTTTTCTTCAAATGTTCCATAATAGAAAACTTGATAAAACTTGCATACATGCATGTAATTAATTAGCACCTCTTCTTTATTAAATTATTATTATTTTTAAATCCTCTACTCTCAAGATCTCTAATTCTATTGGATGCATTCATTATATTTATTAGGGTGATATAAATTAAGAGGTGATAATAGTTGTTTCTTGGTTTTTAAGTTAAGGATGGTTGTGTCTTATTATATTTTAAAACGGAGGAAGAATTATGCATGCAAGATGAACGAACACGTTGCGAACTTGGGGATCGGCAGGCTCCTAGAACCAACGATCAGGCACTAACTTCAGCGAGTCTGCCCGCGAGATTAGGACGAGAAGTAGGAAAAAGTACACCGATAGTCTCTCAACTTGTCATCGTGTTACAAAATCGTCCTCCAACTATAAAACCAGATATATAACATCTCTCAACATATAAAACCGTTCACTATAGGTCCTTAAGTGGTTTTGACCCCGATTTTAGCCGACGTGCTCGCTGAGTCAGCGTGGGCCCCACATGTCAGGGTGTCCACGTCAACACCTACTCTCTTTCCCCTTTTTTCCTGCCTGCGCCCGGCCCGCCGCCGCCTCATCACCACACCACCCCGCCGCCTGTCGCCGGCCATCTTTTCCTGCCTCGCCCCACTGGCCGGCCCGCACGAGGGGGGCTGGGAGGCTGGCGAGCTCGCGTCGCCACCTGGGGGAAACTAAGATCCCCCAAGAGCCACCGTCGCCGGCCGCACCACCCTCCGGCCGAGCACACCGCCGCGGCGAGGCCGGGGGGAGGGGGAGGGGGAGGCAGTGGGATCCCCACTGGACGACTGTGTGTTGGTGATGACCCAGGTGGAGCAGATAGAGCCAGAAGCCGCGCGCTCATCCTTCATATGAGGAGGCGGGGTCTGATGACGCTCTCTCTCGTGGCCCGATCTTCTGGTGAGGGGATAATTCTCGCTTTGATCGAGTGCGACGTTTGCGACGTGGCTACCAACCAGAACAAGTCCAGGATGTCGTGCAATCGCTACACCACAAATGATGTCGTACCAACCGTGACGCGCAGTTGATGATCCCTGCAATACAAACGAGAGAACACTGCAAGAACAAGATAAGATGCAATCTAAATACTGCAAATAGGTGATTAAGCACAAAGAAATAGTTTCGATTGAAGTGGTAGATCTAATCGACCCGGCAAATTAACACACCGACTATTGGGGGCTCTGAATCAATAGTCGCCGACTAATCGAACGAGAACTAGAGATAAGGTGAATGGCACTTGGCAAAATTCAACTAAACAAAACCCAAATGTTTTTAGGATGTACAAAGCTATTTATAGAGGAAAATAAAGCTAGGGTTAAGTGCTAATTTGTGGAGGTGGAGGGAGACACTTCCGAGAAGGGACTAGTCTATTATAAGGCCCAAGGCCCAAGTTTGGTTTCATCAACAACACTGTCTTGTTTTGGCGATTCCCGTTGACTCGAGATGAATTTGGATATGAGACCAGATGCGCTTGAAAGGTAGCGAGATAAGCTTTCCACGAAGTCCAAGATTACCCAAATCGGAGTT